CTAATGTTTCTCCTCCTTCAACATCAATGTTATTACCGCTAAGATTTAAAGAAGTTAGAGTAGTATTTATACGAAGAGATTCTGCTATTGCTTTTACTCCTATTGATCCAATTTGATTACATTGAAGATCTAAAGAAGTGAGTGAAGTGTTTTTACAAAGGGCTTTTGCGAGTGCTTTTCCACCTTCATTACCAATAGTATTATAGTCAAGTTTTAAAGAAGTTAAGGTAGTATTTTTAAAGAGTATCTCTGCTAACGCTTCACCTCCCTTGGAATTGATATTATTAGAAGCAAGTTCTAAAGAAGTCAAAGTGTCGTTTTTGGAAATAGTCTCTACTAATATTTTTAGTCCTTCAGAGTTAAATAAATTATAACATATCTTTAAAGTAAGAATTGTAGAGCTTCTACAAAGATTTTTGGTCACTTCGTTATAAATAATTCCGTAAACTCTTAAACATTTAATTTTATTACTGGTTCGTAGAAGCATTGTTATTAAAGAACATTCAATAGCAACTACAAATTCTTCATCATCGTTGTATTCATTATTAATTTTATAAACTCCTTTATAACGACAACCTTCGTGAATAAGCCAATCTATGATTCCACTATCTAAATATCCAACAGATGTAGTATAACTTGCGTAATCAAATAATAATGGATTTTCATAAGTTGGAAAGATAATTTTAAAAGGAACTAATAGAGCTTGTTCTTCAGCATTTAATGTTGAAAGATATATTCTTATAAGTCTTCTATCGACGATATGTACTGTTGGTTCGCTCCATAATATTGGTATAATAATTCTGCACCAGTGACGGTTTACAAGAAGACACGAAAACATGCTTCTATAATTAGTTCGGAGGTTGTTAAATATTTCAATAAAGCACTCGTCCGGTAGTGGTAACATTTTGAAAGGGTAAAAAAGGAGTTGTTTGTATAAAAATTATCAGCTCTGGTATAAATACGGTGATTGACCAATCAAAAAAATTTGATCTACTCAGATCAGAAAATACAACGGTAGTCCCAAATCAGATTCACCCGGTTTCACTGATTATTATTTTTTCGCGGTGTTTAATTCTAACTAACGTTAAATGGTCGTCGGAAAAAGGAAAATGTCACAGTCCCGTGATCACGATCATTCCCGACCCGATAATTCAAATTACGCATTACGTTTAAAATACTAATAGTTACGCAATAATTTAATTACGTACATTTGAAGAACTATTAATATTTTAAATATAATGCGTAGATAATTTTGAATTATCGGATCGGGAGTGGTCGGTGATCACGAGACTGTGACATTCTTTATAACATGACTAACCTACCTTCGAAAAAATGAGATCATATACGTACGTACGAGTAAAGATGCTGGTGAAATAAAATTAAAATGGCGAAATTGGTGAGTTCAGTTTCACCAACATCTCTACATACGAGAACATTCATTTCTAATAATCGTAACCCGGTTCCCAATCAATGAATATAATTTACTCATTTGTTATCTATCATTTTCACTAGTGCCTATACATATCTAATTTCTTTTATTCGTATTGTTTCAGTAAAGAACATGTTGATTTCCATATTTAAGATAAGCTATTTCATTTAATTCTTATTCGCATTGTTTAATAATTATCATTTGAAGTATTGAAATAAGCAAATCTAATTTCTTATCTATTAATTAATGTATAACAATTATTAACAATTGAAGTGTTAATCTAGTAGATGAGGTTTAATAAAAGTTTTTAAAAGCCATTCACCTCTTATTGCTTATTATATAGTTAAGCGATCTACGCATAACGATCATCTACAGTATCATATTATTTCTTAGTATGTCTCTCATTTAGTTTCTTCTTATGCGTGTTGATTTAATCTAGATTAATCAATTGAGTCATTCGGACAAGTTACCCACACCCCATTTAATTCATTTTTATTCGCGTCTGTTCAGCCCGTGAGTATAATAAATCATTTACCAATATAAGTAAACTAATTTTAAGATCAGCTATCCATCTCTTAAATCATTTCTTATCGTACTGATTGATTATAGTAATTTATTTTAAAATTATCTTTCAATTTCACAAGATAACGATGTCTATTATTTATTAAATATAGTAATGAATAATATTTAGTAATTCTTAATTTCGGATTTAAAACCATGAATTATGTGACATATTAACTCTGAAGATAATAGAAGATTTTAAAGTTTCTAAATTCTCATGGGCTTTTAATTATATTTGCCAAGGAGTTTGCTATATAATTAAATTTTTTATGCCTAACATGTATAGATGATTCGTTAAAAAAAATTTTTATACTTAACAAATTATGATGAGCATATAAAAAAAAATAGATGAGTAGCATTACTCAATTATAATGATTTTAAATATCAAAGATATTTGTCTTACTAGCTAAATTAACATGAACGGATAAAAGGCAGTATTTACGAATTTGAATAGCTTAGTTTAATCGACCGATTAAGAAATTTATACTCAACAAATTAAATATGAACCCAAAAATTAATGCGAATAAAATAAAATTAGACGAGTAGCATTATGTAATTATATTATTTGAAGTAATTTATTAAAAGATCATCATACTTACAGCTAAATTAGCATGAACAATGGGATGTAGAGTGTAATTTGCAAACCTGAATAGCTTATTTTAATGAATTAGAAGAGCAATAATAGTTAAAAATATATACTTAACTTAAATAGTGTCACATGACGTCCCATTATGTATAACATCAAAGGATTAAATAAGAAAAAAAAATTTAACATGAACAATTAATAACATTTATTTTTAAACAAGTTGCTTTGACTTTTAAAATATGACGCCTTTAATTTTGCAAATTCAATATAGAATATTCGCGAAATCAGAACAAAAAGTAAGACGAAATTCTTGTTATAATCAGTTTTCGATGTAAATATGAGTGCATTATCATGTCAAATATAATAAGCTGGATAGAAGCACTACCCTAACCCTATCCGTTTGTGTAAAGGTTTAATATTTCGAGTACAGTATAACCTCGATATGACGATAACGAAGATTATTTCTAATTTTTATGTTTAATTAGCCCCGATATAACGAAACTACTAATAAAGGTTTGATATAACGAAGAAAACCTCCAGCTCCAGAGCTTCGTTATATCGAGGTTATACTGTATAGGGTGTTGGGATCTGGAATTTGATACCTTAGCCAGCCTTTGTGGGCCTACCCGCGGGGGTATCCACAAATAGCCCAGGCTCATACGGAGACCTAACTTATAAAAGAGTTTTTTTTAATGAAATATCAATTACTTGAGAATTTTTTATATCTCGTATCTAATTAAAAAACTCATAGTTAACTGATATAGTCCCTTACGTATCTCCATTCCTCTTAAACCACTAAAGGTATAATAAGCAACTCCTTAACGTCCATTGTTAAGATCTACATACATAGCGCTTTCTAGTATGCTTTTCTCGATGCAATAGTGGCATGATCTTTATGATTTTGGCCGTAAGATTTTATTATAACCATTTTTAATCATTGATCGTGTAATCTATATTTTTATTTAAAAGATTGATTATTTTATTTAAAAAGGTCATCAAATCATTGAATCCTAGTGTGTTGAATTTAAATCACAAAGCAAGTCTGTAAAGGTGAATATTTAAGTCAACATACTTAGTCCGTTTAGTCGATCAAAATGCCTGGTTTTTTTTTTTATTACAACCATCAATCAGGAGATTAAAAACTCAACAATTGCAATTCTGAAATTTATTATTTCAATAATTCATCATCTTGTCAGGAGCTAGATATTGAATTTGGACTAAATAACGTTGAGATACTAATTTCGATAGACACACAAATATAGATTTATTACTTAATCTTCTAAACGTCTGAACTTTTTTTTTGAGATAAACTTAGTCTAGTTGATGAATAAAGCTTGATTACACTTACTCATTAACGTTAATAATTATAAGTAATTAATTATAGAGACTAAAACATGTACAATGGCTAGATTATTATAGTTGAACAATGGCATTAAAATATTGGGAAGTTTCTATATTATGGGAAATAAATGCATAATTAAAAGGAGTTAATCAATCGGTTGAAAGAATAAGTCATGAAATATTGTACGTAGGTACGTACGTATAATAGGCCTTAAACGTGGCGGTATGTTACAAACGAGTTAAAATAGAATCTACTTATTTTATTTGTTTAAAATGGATATCGGAGTGGGCTATTAAAAACATTGCTGCCACATAAAGTTATTCTACAAATATCGACAAAATATACGATTTATTTAGTAAATCGTTTTTCTATAAGGGGTCAGTACAAAATTAGAAAATTTCATTTTTCTTCCAAGTTTTAAAATTTTTAGGGCATTTCTTAATTAATCATTCATTTGTTTTTCTATTTATGACAATAAAATTTTAGTTAATTACGTACTCGTTTATTTGATTTTCTATTTATGACAATTTCCATATTTATCATACATACATACGGTACATAATTTTCTGTTTCACCAATAGTATTTCAATAGTACTTTAAACTTCTTTTCTCTTATAAATCATCGGAATATTAAATTAATAGATTTAGTCCGAAGAAAAGAATATCGAAATTCTTTTGTTTAATATTTTGACTACAATTATGGAAGTACATAGTGGATCGAAATATGATTATATATATTTTCCAAATAAAAAGCGTTAACAAGCGATCTATTGCTATTAAACTTTTAGAAATCTTGGAATATATATCATAGCTTAAAGAAGATAACTTAGTTGAATTAGAAATCGTTATTTAAAAAAAACACTATCAAACTCTTATGATACATTAGATTTATGAATATATGAATCACCAGAAAAAATAGCAAGTTATCTTGGTTTCTTGTCATTAGAAACGGGAATTTAATTTTTAATTATTGAAATTGTTTGTTGAACTAAACAAATATATTATCAGATTGATTCTACATTTCCAAGATTCTATATAAAAACATTTTTGCTGAACTCTAATTCTAAAAATAAAACTTAACCATGATCTCTAAAAGACCACACCTTTATAAAAGAGCTGTCCTCTCATCTGAACCCAAAACTAATCGAAAAACCAAAAAAAGAGCGCCAAGTGGTTTTATACTTTATAAAAATCAAAATAAACTAAATCCTTCGAATGCTAAAGTAGCATATGAGAATGAAACTGAAGATGTCCGTATAGCTTTTGAAAGACAAGCGGAGATGTTGCGATTTGGAGCTGATTCAAATTTTATTAACTTAGATAAAAGATCTTTTATTAACTCAGATACATCTGAACAAGTTGACGATACAAATGCAACTGTCTCAACTGTCAATGACTCGGAAACGAAATTGTTTCTTCATTTTAATAACGTAACCAACAACTCATCACCATTCGAACAACCGATCTTTCAAACATCTTATGAAGATTTACTGATTCGGAATAATGAGACTTCATTCATTTAGATCACGTTAATAAAAAGAATCAATGATACTAATTTAATTCCTAAGAGAAATTAGACTAAATTTAAGAGCATAAAGTTGCTAGGATCATATAGGTCAATATTACATGTAATCTGAATATATTTGTTAGAAATTTTCATTTTGTTATTTATATATTCTTTATTTTTTATTATTTGGTTATCATTGGTTGAAACGATTATCATGAAGTGCAGAATGAGAAGGAAAAATTAATTTCATAGAGTTTTACTTTAATTATTTCGAATATATACATATTTCCTCCCTGAGAGCGTTAGAATTCGAACAATTCTAATTATAATTAATAAGCATTTTTTAAAAAACAAAATTATAAAGATTTTGACGCATCCTTTAAATAACATATAGAAAGTAAGTGAGAAGATCTTTCTGGCTATTTGGAGATCAAGTTCTATAACGATTGTGTAAAAATAAATATTAAAAAAACGATTGTAGTCGATTCGTCACTTCTTTAATCCAATACTGCAATATCCGAATTCTCCCTCAATAAATTCAACAAAGGATCTGATTTGTCTGTCTGATCAAACAGTCAATCAGATTCTTTATTGAATTCATTGAGAGAGGTGCTTGAGTTACTAAAACCTTTGATCATATTATTGGCTTTACATAAACCCTCATAAATTACTATTGTGCTATATCGTGCATAGTAAAGTAACTCCTATCAATAGTAACAATGATTCACATAGGTTCTCATCATTCGAACTTTCATTCTTACACTGAAAAGTTCGATTAGATGATATACATTCCAACACGACGCTTTAAACAATAATTCTTATTTAAGCCTTTACACCAAACTAGCATGACGGAAGTTCGATTTATGCATTGTGGTTACACAAGATTTTACATATCAAAAACATAAGGAATAGGGGTATATCATATGACAACTCATCAAAAAATCGACCAA